GTTCGCCCAGAGGCTGCCCGGCACCTGGCTCCACCCACGGTATCGCTCTCGGCGCCAGCTAGACCACGTGATGGTCCGACCGAGAGACCGTAGTCAGCTTCGATGCGCGCGAACCTTGCAGTACTGCCCGGGGGGTTGCAGGGGGAAAGGAGGGCAAGACGCAGAAAACGCCGTCGCTCGGACGACGCGTGGCGCGTCCGAGAGGACGGAATCGTGGCTTGGTCCGCGTATACGGACCACGAGCCGGTGGAAGTGGGAATTTCCGTGAGTGGCAGATGGTTGTTTCGTGGCCGTCACACCGACAGCCGCCCAGCGGTCCCCAACTACTCGGCGATGCGGGGGTCATCCCCTGCGGCTAAAGAGGCCCGGGCTCACTACGGGCAGGTCTTGACGGATATGCCGCAGAATCTAGTGGCCCCTCTGGGGTGGAAGGAGCTGTGCGACATCGCTCGTGCAGCGGGAATGCAGGTATTGGGAAAACGTCACGCCCGGGCGCAAGTGCCCTGGTTACGGGGCCATACTAGCCTCGACGAGGACATGCATGGGGCGCGCCAGGGTAGCTTACGCCCTTTCAGACGACGCCGGGGCCCCAGCGGCCCTCGCGGAACGTCGTAGGGTAGCCCGGGAACGGCGTCGTACCTTAAGACGGTGGGAGCGAGAGCATTGGACTGACATCGGCGAGCAGGCGTCTGCAGCCGCCAGGATGGGAGATCAATTAGAGCTCTTCCGACTGTTCGTTGAGCTAAAGAGTCGTCGCCATGATCGTCGGGGGTCCAGTGTCAAGCATTTTGCACGGATCTTTGGTGCGATTGGGGCGGTTGCCGACCACGTGTGGCAAAACGCCCCCCTCGCTTCCACCGCCGAACGGCGGCTCGCAAAGCCACCCAACGACATCGAATCAGACCAGTGTGCGAGTAAAATGAGGACAGGTCGACAACCGGGGGGGCGGATTTGCGTCGGAAGCGCTCAAATATGGAGGCGCGGCGTTCCGCGCGGCAGCATTCGATCTCGCCAGGATAATGTGGGATTGCGCGGCGACCGAAGAGGACGGAGAGGAAGCGGCTGCTTTGCCTCGCGAGCGGCGAGAAGCGCTGGTCATTCCACTCTGGAAGCAGAAGGGGGCCGGAAAGGACTAGAATACGTGGCGGGGCATTACCCTGCTGTCCGTTGGGTCCAACATGGCGGCGCGGGCGGTAGCGTCTCGCATCGGTGTGCGTGGTCTGAGCCGCGGGTGGGAGAGTCGCAGTCGGGCTCCCGGCGCGGCCGGGGCGCTGGCGACGCTTTACAGGTCGCCCGCCGCCTGGCGGAGGAAGCCGCAGCCCTCCGGAATGATGAAGCTGTTGTTTTCGATTTCTTCGACATAGAGAAATAGCCGACCCCCGCCATTGCAGGCCTGCTCTGTGATCTTTACTAGCGCGCAGAGGGTGCCCCGAAGGCATGCTCAGAGTCTGTGAAGCCCTACGCAACCAAGCCGAGTGTCTGGCCCGGGTGCCAGGTGGTCTGTCGGACCCTTGGGCCCCCGAGAGAGGACTCAGGGAGGGGTATCCGTCCCCCCCCCCCTCTTCAATGTGTACCACGACGCGGTGATGACGGATTGCAGAGCCCGCCGCAAACGCGCGGCGCGGCATTGGCGCGCACCCCAGGACTCGAGATCGCGCGCCGGGTAGATGGCCGACTGCAGAAGAAAGCGCGGAACCGATTACAGTCGCAAGTATCAGACCACCCTAAGGACCTGGGATTTCGTCGGGTCGTCATCGGCGGCGTGGGGTTTGCAAATGACACCACCATTGTGGGGTTTGACTCTGAGATGCCCCCCCCCCTCCCTCCTCACTGAACCAATGAATGATTTGGGGGGGGGTCAACCGGGGAAAATCCGAGGAGTTACGCCTCTCGAAGGATCCACGCATGCCCTATGACGTAAGAAGGGAGTTCGAGGCTTGCCAGCTGAAACAGATTGGGCCCACACATATGGAAACCGGTATTCGGAGCGCCGACGCAGCCCGGCGAGCGTCGACCGCCCGTCTGCCTGTTCAAGCCATTGCAAAAGGCTGGGCGGTGGGCGCCGCGCGCGGCCGGGGCCGGGCCAGTGGTGTCGACATCCCCACGAGATTACAGGTGCTCGAATCTTGCGTTGCGGGCTGTTTGCTTTTCTCGGGGGCGGATAAAGGAGGAGCTTCGCAATCTCCAGAGAGTGGCGAACTAACGCGGTCAGGCGAGCGTTCGGCATGGAAGTGTGGAATATGAGGGGGCACCACGTGACAGATGTAGCTGCGCGCGCCGCGGCCAAATGGAGGGCCGTCGAGGATCGGGTCGCCAAGCTGTCCCTGCAGCGGCTGGGGCACGTCGCTCGGGTGCCAACTTGGCGCGCCCGGAAGCAGGTCCTCTTCGGCTTTATATCCAGCCGCGGTTGAGGAGTCGAGGAGCACGTGAATCCGAACGGTCAGTTCCCGTGGCTCCGAGGATGCATCCGAAAGCTCTCGTTCGACGAGATGGATTGGTTTCGCCGGGCTCAGTCCCAGAAGGGCTGGCAGAGCTCCATCAACAAGGCCTTCCCCGCGCAGGGCCGCGACGTGAACCGAAGGGCGCTGTTGCGCGCGTGGAGACCAGGCCTGGCGCTCCCGGAAGCGGATCCTCCTCCTCCCCCCCCTCCTACTCCCCCCCCCCTCCCCCCCTCGCCCTCCTCCTCCTCCCTCTCCTCCCCCCCCCCCCCCTCCCCCCCCCCCGCCTCCTCCTTGCCCCCCGCCCCCCCCCCCATCGGGGGAGGGTCCACCCCCAGAGGGCCGGGTCTACGCGTGTCCGGCTTAATCACAACAGTTCACGGCGGGGAATCAGAGGTCGCGTCATCGACAATGAACACTCTGTACGAGACCCGTCTCTCGTCGCATGGGCGTCACATCAGTGCCCAGATTGCAAAATATGTTTTTGTGGGAGAGGCTCTTCGCCTCCACGAGCCATGATGTCCAGCCGGCACTTCAAGTGCATCAAAATTTTGTCATGTGCTTTTGTGCGGGGATCTTGCCCGGCCCCGCCGCGGGGCTGGTGGGTTGCCGCAGATGGATCTGGCAAGGATGGAAAAGCGGGGTGGGGTGGGGGGGGGGGCAGTGATCTTTCGCTGCGATGACCCGGAGACCCCTGGTCAGATTCCGGACTTCGTGCTCCGCGCCCCAGTAGTTACCGCTCAGTGGGACCACCAGTGGCTAGGGGCATGTGATGGGACCATAACGCTGCTGAGCTGACGGCGATAGGCGAGGTTGTGAAATGGCTGCGAGAGGAAGCCCCCGACCCTGGGGGCGCCCCGGTGCACGTCCGGCACGACTCGGAATATGCAGCCAATGTGGCGCAGGGAATCTGAGCGCCGAGCGCCAATGAAAAGCTGGCCCAAGCCGTCCGGGAGCTCACGCAGGAGGTCCGTCAGAACCGCCAGATCACTTGGGAGCGCGCGCATGGCCACACAGGCGCCCATGATAATGAGCTCGCCGACCGGGCTGCCGACGTAGGTAGGCGGGGCTTCGCCTCAGCGCAGTCCGGCCGGTGGTCGGCGCCTCCGCCGGCGGGTTGCGATCGGCCATATGCTGAGACGGACGTCTGTAAGAAGCGCGGCCAGAGGGTCCCGAGTAAGGACATCACTTGGCATGCTCGCAGATGCACCGCGACAGATCACGTCCTTCCCGAAGGATATACCAAGCGCCGCACATGCGAAGTGTTGACCCTCGCGGCGGGCCGCCTACATCATGAACGCAAGTGCCGCGGGTCGCGTCTGGCGAAACGCGCGCGCGGCAAGTGGGGCAAGCTATTTCCCGAGCCCCCGCCGGGGCAGCTGTCCAGGCCCATGTGGAACCGCGAGGTGAAATGCAGGGGCGCGCCGAGACCTCTGCCGACCGGCGGGCCCCGCCTCCTCCTCCTCTGCCCCCTCCCCCCCTGGCCCCTCCTCCTCCTCCTCCTCCTCCTCCTCCTCCTCCTCCTCCGTCGTCCTCTTCCTCTTCTTCTTCTTGCCCCGTCTCCCTCCTCGCCCCGCCCCCTCTCGGCGCGGGCCCAATGGGCCCAGGTCATCCGCCCGAGGGCAGCAGGGCGCCGCCGAAGGCAGAGCCGCCAGGCTGGCGGCTAGGCGCCCCGCGGCGCGCCATCGCGAAGCGCCGCCCATCCGCCAACCTAGGCGCAGGGGGGCAGGCGAAGGGCCCGTCGCTGAGCAGAGGGGCCAAAGCGACGGCGGGGAAGGCAGCTGCCCCGAAGCGAGGGCACAGGTAGGGGGAGCTTGGCTGACGAAAGCAGGAGCGTAGTTGCATTGATTCTCGCCGGGGCCTTTGCCCTTCCCGTTCAATTCGCTCTCCCCCCCCCCTGTTCCTTCAGATGACAGTAATGGTATGTTCTTCGTTGTTCTGGTTTTGCCTGTTCTGCTTTTGCATCCGTTTGTTCGTTTTTCCTTTTTCGGGCACGGCTCGCGGCGTTTCTCTCCGCGTCTGCTGCAGCCCAGGGGTCAGTTTTCGCGCTGCCCCTCGTGCCGGCGCAGGTTAACCCTGCACCAGGGGAGGGCGCAGGTTCCTTCGGGTTCCACGTCGCGCCGTCGTTGGCCCCCTGGCCTTCGACACCGCCCCCCCCGGTCCTCGGCAGCAGGGGGGCCGCCCCCAGGAGGGGCTCTGCGATGTGTTCCTTGGCAATCGTGCGAAGCCACGCCCTGTCAACAAACCCGTTTGGCGTTGCATTATTCCTTCCTCCCTCCCCCCCCCCTTCCTCCTCCTGCCTTTTTCCTTGTCTTCCCGCCTCTCTTCCCCCTTTTCCCTTCTTCCTCCTCCGTTGCTGGTGGGTGTTGGACCATTGCTACCATCCCCCACCCCTTCTGTCTTTGTCAACGTGAGTATCCCACCACGCATCCATTGCATGTTGTTGCGCGTGTACGCAGGGATCACGGCGCGTTTTCTCTATATTTCGTCACATTCGCCCGCCGCGATCCCGTCAGGAAGGCTCTCGTGTCGGCCCGCCTCCGCCCCCGCTGCCCGGGGGCGATGGCGGCGCGCAGGGCCGCCGTGGACGAGAGTTTGGCGGCGCTCGAGGCGCGCGCGACGTCGGTTGAGGGCGGGCGGCAGCGCGCGAAGTGAGACCTGGGCGAGGTTCGCAAGATCTGCCGCGTCGTCCTTGAGGGGTTCGACAGGGTAGAGAACGCGCGGGCAGAACGCGCACAGAGCCAACTGCGGAGGGAACTCCGCCTGGCAGTGCCGAAAGCGGCGGGCGAGGGCCTATGCGAGGCCCTCCAGGTGCCGTGGCCGCTGCCGCAGGAGGACTCCCAGGAGTTCCAGGCGCTGGGCGACACGGGGCTGGCCATCTCTAAGATAGTCAGTGGCCTGGCCGGCGCGGACGTGCCGGCGCACGTTTTCGACCAGATCAACGAGGGAGAACGTGGCCGGCGGCGGGGGCCGAGTCGAGGGCACCTTCCGGTTGGCCTTCCGGTTCGGAGAGACGCCCCTATCGGCGCAGGCGGCGCTGGCCTTTTTGGACGGGCCGCTTCGCACGGCAGCGGGCATTCTTCCCGCTCGCGGGAGGCCCGCGCCGCCTAGGGCGGACGGGGCCCCTGCCCCGAAGCGCAGGCAGGCGTGCGCCGAGGCAGCGCCGGAGGAGCGGGAACGCAAGCGCGCGCGCCAGGGGGCCAGCGGAGGCGGCCCCAAGGGCAGGGGCGGGAAGAGCAGCAAGGGGCGCGGCGGCAAGAACGGCGGCAAAGGCAAAGGAAAGAAGGGGGCCAAGGGAAAAGGAAAGGGCAAGGCCCAGGGCAAAGCGCGCACCTGCGGCAGAGCCCGCCGCCAGCGCCCCCGCGGCCTCTGCGGGCCCGGCGCCGGCGGCGGCCCCGGCCGCAGTGGCGCGGGATAAAGCCGCCGCTGACGCGGTGGGCCGCGGCCCGCGCCAAGGCCGCCCCAGCTGCTCCCGGAGCAGCGGCCGCCGGCAGCGCCGACCCCCCCCCTCGGGGGCGGGGGCGGTGGAGGCCTGAGCGCCTAGCATCCTTCAGCTCCACTTGGGGGTGGCGTCAACGGGGGGGGCGAAAGTTGAGCGCGGTTGCTGGTGCGAGATCGTCTTTTTGCTTCTCGGATGGCGGCCTGCGTATGTGAAATTTGAGTTTCGCCCATGCGGCAGTTTGAAGACGCCTCGATGTCGCGTTGGGTCGGCTTTGCGTGTGACTGAAGCGGTTGGGGCCTGGGCCCACGTTTATCGGCGTTTTTTTTCCCATCCATTGCGATTGTGCGCTTTGGAACGAGACCGGCGGGATCAATGTCTTATTTGCTCTGGGTCAAGGGGCAGATGTTTTCGGAATGCCCAGGTTTGGAAGCGGTTTTGGGGACCATCCCTTGTTCGTCGCCAGCGTCGCCTCTCTCGACCATATTGTGGTGTTAGGTCCTCGTTTCGAAGAGAGTGCCCCGTGTTCCTTCCTCCTCACCTCCTCGCCCCCTTTTTCCCTCCCCCCCTTTCCACCGTGCGTCTCCCGCACACAGGACAACGTTTCGGGGCTCTGCAGGGGTCTCCGCCGAAGGCGCCAGTGGCTGCGCTCGCATGCGGTTCCCCCACCCAGGACTGCGTTTCGTGGCGCCGTAGGGATTGCTACCGAGAGCCCCAACGGCTGCAGTGACATGGGGTTCCCACGTTCAGGCTGGCGTTTCGTAGCCCGAAAAAAAGGGGCTCCACCTAGAGCCCGAGCGGCTGCACTCGCATGCGATCCCCTCCGCCCAGGATCGCATGTCGTGGCCCCGTCGGGAGCTCCACCAAAGGCCCCAGCGGCTGCATTCGCAGGCGCGCCCCCACCCACGACCGCACTTCGTGGCCCCATGGGGGGCCGCACCGAAGGCCCTGGTGGCTGCATTCGCATGCGGTTCCACCACCCAGGACAGCGCTACGTGGCCCCATTTATGGGTTCCACCGAAGGCTCCGGTGGCTGCAGTAGCATGCGGACCTCCGACCCAGGACAGCGCTTCGTGGCCCCATGGGGAACCCCGCAGATGGTCCCTGTGGCTGCATTCGCATGCGGTTCCAGCACTCACGCCAGCGCTTTGTGACCTCATCAGGAGTTCCGCCGAGGGCCCATGTGGCCGGACATGCATGCGGTTCCCTCCGCCCAGGACAGCGCTTCGTGGCCCCGTCGGGAGTTCCGACGGGGCTCCAGTGGCTGCCCTCGCAAGCGGCTCCCTCCGCCCAGGATCGCGTTTCTCGGCTCAATCGGAAACGCCATCGAAGGCCAAGTGGCTGCACTCGCATGTGGCCCCCCCGCCCAGGACCCAGTTTTTTCGGCTCAAACGGGGAGTCCACCGAAGGCCCTGGTGGCTGCACTCGGATGCGGTCCCCCCGCCCAGGGCAGCGTTTCGTGGCCCCGTAGGGAGTTCCACCCAAGGCCCCAATGGCTGCACTCGCATGCGATTCCCCTGCCCAGGGCCGCGTTTCTCGGCTCAATCGAGAGCTCCACCGAAGGCCCCGGTGGCTGCATTCGCATGCGGCCCCCCCGCACAGGACAGCGTTTCGTGGACCCGCGTGGAGTTCCATCGAAGATGAAATATTCACAATTGCGGAACCCACAACTGCATATGGTGAGGGCGATGAATCGTTGCCGCGAGAGCGTGGACCTGATGTACTTCCACGGAGGATCCTTGTTGCGGGAGTGAATACTTGTTGTTTTTCATTGGGGAAGCGGGGCCCGATCCATGCGGCGCTTTGCGACGAGGGGCGTCGGCAGCCCCTGAGAAGACTTGCAGAAACCCTGCCAGACAGCCAGTGGCATTCTAGCGCGCCCCTAACGAGCACAAAGCCCTGTGGCATGTGCATCCTGCACCGTTTGCCCTCGTTTGGGAATATGTTTTGCCTCCAGTTGCCATGGTCCATGCCATCGGGTCCTCGCCGTCTGCTTCTCCTGCCGCCCATCCTTCTGCTGCTTTCCTCATGCTCCCAAATCGCATTGCCATCAAACCCTCTCGAAAACTTCCATTGGACACCGCAAACGGTCTCAATTGTCCTCGATTGGACCGCCTTTCTCGTCTCAATTTCTCTGAAAGAGCGTGTTCTACCGCTGCTGGCGGGAAACCGGGGGGGGGCCACTGACGGTTCGAACCCCCCCCCCCCCCCTCCGGAAAACCAAGGGAGGTCACTACCGGTTCGAACCCCTCCCCCCCCCCCCCCCAGCTCATCATGAAAAGGGGGGGGGGGTCACTGCCGGTTCGAACCCCTCCCCCCCCCCCCTTTCGAAAACCCAGTGGGGATGCGGACAGAGGTGGGGGCGGTGTTGGTGGGACAGTGGTGAGGGGACAGCGGGACAGTGGTGGGGACAGTGGGATAGCGTGCGACGAATTGGTTGATAAGATGACGCGCGATGGAGACGTGGTGGTTATGACGCGATTGGCTGCGAGGATGAGGGCGGTCGCGGCTGTGCCAGGGATGGCGGCGACGGCGGCGGCAAAGACCACAGGGGCGAGTGGTGCGATAATGGTGGCGATGAGCATGGCGATGATGCAAGTGACGGCGGTCATGACTAACGCCAATGATTGAGATGCAGACGACGAAAAGCGGCGCGCGTGACTATGATCAAGAGACAGAAGAGGATGCTACTATTATTACTACTACTACTACTACGACTACTAACTACTACTACTACTACTACTACTACTACTCCTACTACAATTACTACTACTACTACTACCACTGCTGCTACTACTACTACTACTACTACTACTACTTCTACTACTACTACTATTACCACTACTACTACTACTACTACTACTACCACAAAAACTACTACTACTACTACTACTACTACTACTACCACTACTACTACTACTACTACTACTACTACTACGAGTACGACTACGACTACTACGACTACGACTAACTACTACTACTACTACTACTACTACTACTACTACTACTACTACTACTACTACTACTACTACTACTAGTACTACTACTACTACTACTACTACCACTACTACTACTACTACTACTACGACTACTACTACTACTACTACTACTACTCCTACTACTACTCCTACTACTACTACTACTACTACTACTACTACAACGACTACTACAAAAAGTACGACGATTACTAAACTATTTCTACTGCTACTACCACTACTACTACTACTACTACTACTACTTCTACTATTACTACTTCTACCATTACTACTTCTACCATTACTATTACTACTACTACTACTACTACTACTATTACTACTACTACTACTACTACTACTACTACGACTACTACAACTACTACGACTACTACGACTACTACTACTACTACTACTACCACCACCATACTACTACTACTACTACTACTACTACTACTACTACTACCTACTACTAACTACTACTACTACTACTACTACTCTACTACTAACTACTACTACTACTACTACTACTACTACTACTACTACTACTACTACTACTACTACTACTACTACTACTACTACTACTACTACTACTACTACTACTCCTACTCCTACTACTACTACTACTACTACTACTACTACTACTACTACTACTACTACTACTACTACTACTACTAACTACAACGACTACTACAAAAAGTACGACTATTACTAAACTATTTCTACTGCTACTACCACTACTACTAACTACTACTACTACTACTTCTACTATTACTACTTCTACTATTACTACTACTACTACTACTACTACCACCACCACCACTACTACTACTACGACTAGTACTACTACGACTACTGCTACTACTACTACTACTACTACTACTACTACTACTACTACTACTACTACTACTACTACTACTACTACTACTACTACTACTACTACTACTACTACTACTACTACTACTACTACTACTACTACTACTACTACTACTACTACTACTACTACTACTACAACTACTAGGAGGAGTAGGAGGAGTAAGAGCGCCCCCGATCGGCGGCACTGGCCGGAGGCCACTACAATCTACGAAATCCCGTCGAAATCGGCCCCAGGAGCCCTCCCGGCGTCCATCCGACGCAGGTTTTCACCCTTGATCGATTTTTCCCTACATCGCGCCGCCTCGTCCTACCAACTCGCCCCTCTTCCTCCGTCGTCCTGCCCCGTCCTAGTTCCTCCTACCTAGAGCTCCAAGAGGGCCCCAAGAAGGCTCCAAGAGGGGCGCCATGGGTCTCATCGAACCGCCGTTTTCGATGAGACCTATCGCGCTCCTCTTGGAGCCCTCTTGGGGCCGTCTTGGTTCCCTCCGGGGCTCCTCGAGGACCGGCCCGCCCTGTCCTGGCCCCGTCTAGGGGCTAATAGGGAGGCCTTAGGGGGCTTCAAGATAGCCTCAAGAGGACTCTAAGAGAAGGAGGCCCAGGTCTCATCGAACCGCTGTTCTCGATGAGACCTGGCGCGCTCCTCCTGGAGCCCTGTCGGGGTC